CAAGTTTTTACTTTAGTCGTCTATCTGCCTCATCCTGTTTACTTTTCAGAGTCAGAAGGTGGTTGCTTTTTGTGTTCTTTCCAGAGTCTTTAGTTGTAATCAGCTTAAGAAAGAGGCTACAGTCAGCTTACTCCATCTTGGCTGCAACCAGAAGGCCATAACTACATAATATTACATGGCATTAATGGTCAACAACTTATTAAACCATTTCTCCTGGTGTTGGACATTTAGGTCATTTGAAATTTTCCACTATGAAAAATCATCGAACATCTCTCTTCTTATGTGAATTCCATTTTTTGTTTACTTGTTGAAATAATAGCCTGCTTCACTTATGCTACGTCAGTATTTACTAAAACTTTTACATTCTGATTTTTTCCATTTGTTAATTTTCAAGAACCCACAGCCAAATACATAAATATATACATACGGGATTCTATTTGGATAAGTTATCTTAGATATATACATACAAGATTCTGTTTGGATAAACTACCTTATACCTGCCAAATAGAAGAGAACCATTTAACACAATTTAAAGTGTTCATAAAATAATATAGACTCAACAACCTCTGGCTTTAAGCTAGTTAGCAAACATAGGCACTACTTACGAGTAAGGCTTTACATTTGTTCATTTGGTTATTAATGAGATTTAAATGATGCTTTCCTGAAATATGAAGACACTCTTACATACGGATGCCTGTCTAGAAATGAGCTAGGTTTCCTTAAAAAATGAAGATTGTGGGGTATTAAATTATGTGTGACTTTTTTTTTGTGACACATGAAAGTCACTATGATCTGGGAGTCTTTCTGATTACATTGTTTGAGAATTTTTTTTTTTCATCTGGGCTATTTCATTTCACCATAAGAATATGTCTCCTGAATTAATTTCTGTACAGACATCATGCGTGCACACGACGCTATGAGTTGAAAGGAATATAGGAGAAATATCCCTCTTATTAATTCTTTCATGAAGCATTTGTGGCTCATCATGGATAATGGTTGAATAGCAGCGCCTTGAATGATGCACCAAACACCAGAGTTGTGTGGGTTTGGAGGCTAAAAGTTGGAAAAGGGTACTTTATTCCCTGTGTAGAATGCTCCAGTGGAGGTGTTCCAGAGAAATGAGTATTTAAAGAATAGAAAATATACTTGAAGTGATTCTTCACTATAAAATCAGATTGTCATACTTTTACAAGGATTACTTTTTGTCGTTTACCATTTTTTTGGTTTATCTGTGGTCCTCTTTCTGATTGTAATTATTTTGTGCTTATAATAAAGAGTTGGTATTAATCTAAGGGTTGCTTTTCTTAGGCTACATTCCAAACATTGGGAAAAGATCTTGACTTCGTGTCATCGGATGATACCACAATTAAAGGTAACTCGTGTTTTTAAAATAAAATACTTTTATTACCCAGATTGCCAAGTCTTAAAGATACCATTACCCTAAATCCTCGCACAAAAATGCTTTATCAATTTCCTTGGACATTAGTAGTCGAAAGAAAATTTAAAACTTGAGCTAAAAATGTTAAATGTGCTTATGGGGAAAAACCCAAGAAGTGGATTTCTTGAAATATCATAGGGAATTTATTTGTTGTTTGAATTGATCTTAAAAATTAAATTGTGAATCTGATAAATTCATATTTTGAAGGATTTTCTCCGTGTTAATTAGCCCATATATTAAATTATCTTTGTATGTTAAGTGATTTCTTGGAATTTCTTTCTGGATTTTCAGTTTGTCTGCATGATAAGATTCACTTTGTTGCAAGATCCTGGTAGTTGCATGATCTTGTGCATAAGTAGCACACTGGTTCTTAGAATTAAGGCACATTAAGAATGAAATCAGCTCTTGTTGGCTTTATTATTATGGGAAAAATACACTCTAATCAACCAGAATAAAGGACTAATTGGTTATCAGTCTTGTTAACATCACTCTAGCAAAACATAAAATATGCCAATTTCATAATCTTTTAGAGAAGCTTTGTTTGATAATAGGTAGAGTGAGAGAACCAAAACACTGAAAAGAAAAAAACCATTTCTGTAGGAATAATTTTCCATAGAAATTAGAATACTTATCTGCCTCCTCTCCCCATTTTGAGAGGATATTACATTTAAGGTGGTAGAACTCATGTAAATAATTTTCTTGTCTTTATGTTTCTTTCTCAACTTGAGGTTTTTCTCTTCATTTCAGAAAAGGCGTCTGGAGGTGATACAGATTTAACTGTGGATCCATAGATGTGGCCAGTCAGGAGCTGCTCTTAAACAAGTGGCATCTTACCCAGACCAACAGAGCATTTGAGCAAATTGAGAGCATGTAATCACAAGAAGTTGTCATTGTCAAAAATTTTGATATGTGTTGAAAACAAAATAGACGTCAGGTTGACCATGCAGTGTCCTTATAGTGGTATTGCAGTATATACAGATCTGGGATCTTTCTCCTTCCTTTGAATGTGCTATGTTTCTAATCAGTTGGGAAGATTTATTTTGCTAGACAATTTGCTAACACATTACTCACATGTCAAAAAAACTATTTTGGTTTCTTTTGAATGCAGTGTTTAAATTAAAATAGGAAATAATAGGTTTATGACAAGTATATTATATGATGCTACTTAGGAGGATGGCTTTGTTAGTCATAACTCCTTCAGAATTTTTGTTTTCTTTCTGAAGCATTGCCTTGTTTGTGTAGTTAAACATTTGGCTAATATTTTGTTTGAATTTGGAAGTATTCTTATATGACATAAGATTTGAATAAAATTTATCCTTAAAAGTGTGGTGGTCTCATTTCATTAAAAAGGACATAGGAATCTGGAATATCTGTAGTAATGGAACCACAATTCTATAATCAGGTGAAACTGCAGTGTTAAACATTAGCTTTTATGTGTTAGTCACTTGACTGGTATTTTAAATGCATTTTCTCATTTAATCCTCGACTCTGAGATGTGTATTATTAGTATCCATATTTTTTATAGGTGGGAAAATTGAAGCTTTTTAGAGAAGTTAAATAACTTCCTAAGGTCAAAGAGCTAGTGACCCTCAGAGGCTTGATCAAACCCAGACCCACCTAACCTGAGAGCCCATGCTCTCCAAACACGGTTTTGTGTAGGCGGTCGTATGCAGAATGCAGATCCTACCTTTAGGAAACGATCTTCGCTATCTGCTGCTTACTAGATGTGTGACCTGGGCAGGTTATATTATATCTTTGAGCCTTGATCTTCCTCATCTGCAAAATGGGGAGAATAAAACCTTTCTTGCAGTGTTTTTAAGGTTAGGAATGGTTTACATAAAGTGCCTGAAAAGGAGTAGGCATTCGATGAATATTTCCTTCTTTTCCCTGAAAGATACGCAGTATGCGCTATGCTATGTTTTAAAAAAAAATCCTAACTCCTTGGATCCTTCCAGCATTTATCTTCTCCTTTCAACCCTGGCATGTGCCACCAACAAAGGGTTTTAAAGAGGTGCTATTGAATGGGACATCAAAACAATTGGAATAGTTATCCATTTCTAAAGTGAGTAAGGAGGTTTGCTATGTAAGAGTGGAGAAAAAATGTAGGTCTATGAAACACTATCAGACCCTGAAGCCTGATGGGACGAGTGAGAATTAGGAACCTTAAAAGCTGAGTATAATTTCAGTTAGTGGAAAGGAGAAGGTTTTGCATTAAACATAGTTGAGGTAGATGAGTATACTGCTTGTTCCCGGGATTATGAATAGACAAGTTTGGTTCATTCACCTAGGAGATACAGTTGTGAATTACTGGGAGAAAACATCAGAGAAGATGCCTTAGGGCCAGATTACAGAAAGCTGCCAGTTTCATGCTAAGAGCTTCTATCTAACTCTCTGTTTTAAAATTTTTAATCTGAATGACTAAAGGATAGGAGAATCAAATTTCTCCAAATGAGTGATTTTGCACCTTAAAACATTAAGACAGGCCGGAAGGGCCAAATCAAAACACATAGTCACTTATTACCTGGGCAAAAGGCACAAGTAGAAACAGTTCTAGTTAACCAGGCTTGCTTACTAAGTATGATTATCCCTGTTCACACAGGCTTAAACTTAATTATGGAGAATTCATAGGAACAAGACCATAGTTACACGAAAATATACTTAACAAATGAGTGACATAAATTTTTATACCCTGTAGGAAACAAAAAACATTTTCTGTGACTCCCAGATGTATAAGTGCATACATTTTTAAGCTATCTTTTCAGCTCCACTTATTATGCTATTCTACTTCCACTACTACGTATAGAATTAACATTCATTAAATAAAACGAATGGAAAATGAAGCAGTTAAAATTATTTCTCAAGGTTTCCTTTCTTATACTTCACAGCTTTTGGGTGAATAACTAATTTAACGTGCGATGGCTGGGACCCCTGGCCTTTCTTTAGCAAGCAGAATGCATCAGAGATCAACCACTAAAGTGAATGCAAACCAATTACCAAATTTCTTTAATCCACTTTAATCTGCTGCCTTTGCCTTGTCTCTGAGATTCTTACCCTTGTCCACGTCCCCTTTAGTCATCATATTGAAATTGTATAGTATCTGTGGGAAAGCAGTAGCTTTATTGTCTGCTTGATCTAGGTTTTCTTACCATGAGCACAAGTCAAAGGGAAGTGCTGTGAAATTCCACCTAATACCATGTTGCTAAATCTCAATTCTACGGCTCATTATAGAAAGAAGATGAAAGAAAATCTGTTTTGATTTTATTTTTAGGGAGTATTATGTCACTGCAATGTGTTTTCATTGGCATTGTGCCTATTTTAATATACTTGTCCATTAAAGTAATGTAAAAGCAGTTTTTAATTCTGACACTAAAAAGCGATCATTTTAGTAAAATTAAAATTTAGCCTGATATGATTTTTATATATAGCAGTCTTTCTTTACATTTAAAGGAAAAAAATCTTACCCCAAGCTCCAATCACTATTAGGGTATAGCCTACATCTTTAAATATGAGTTAAGAAAATATATTAAAATCATATGCACACACCACACACACATACACACACTTAGTTTTTAAATGAGACTTTTTTAAAAAGCTCTTTTAATCTAAATTCGATTTCTCTATTCCTGTAGAGTTCTGTAAAGTGACATGTTGGTTGGCTGTGTCAATGTTGGTCCCTGGAATAAGATTATCGTCTTCCCCTTCGATCAAAGAATCCCACTGATCAAAATCTTTCTGAAGTCCTGTAAAATATAAATGTTAGCAAACATATTAAACTTTGAAGAGGATTAAACAGTTCAGTGCCTCTAGGTGGCATCCTAGCATCACAGATTGCACAAACGGCATCATGATTAGACAGGCAAGGTCTTCTGCTGAGCAGCCACGTGGCTGCTTCAGCTGCTCCGTCTGCAGGAGACATGGGATGGAGGTACTGTGCCCTCAGTATCCTCAGCGTGGAAGCCCACCCAGTCTTCACAGAAAGGCTATTAGCTTTAACAGGGAGACTTGCTGTCCATGCTACATGGTATCCAAAGCAGCAAAATCAAACTTGTCAAGTTTTTGTTTTCAAACTGATTTACTGCTATGTTAAATTGTAAACCCACCAGAGACAGTTAAAATGGGACTAATGCTGCGTTCAGACAGACAGTTTTGTCCTGAGAATCACATGGTTTATGTCATGAAAGAATATTATTTTCTTACCTAAATGCTTTTGTAAGAATGCTAGTGAAGCTTTGTTGCTAAGATCAAGAGCTACATTTGAATCAATATCTCCTTTTAATGTGAATATGTATCCAATTATTTTGCCAGTTGCAAAAGTGAAGTCAGCAAAATTCTGATGGACTGAACCTCTGAAAGAGAAATGAGACATTTACAAATCATTGTTTGACAAAATTATTTTTGCAGTTAGGGTGCAGGAAAGATACTGGCCTGGTTGGCCTATTTATCAAAAATCAAGGAAACAAAACTTGTAGATTTGATCTCCTTAGATTTATTTGAGGGTCACACGCTGTGTTCATTTAGGGATCCTAGCGTATATATTCCTCTTTTCATCTAGATAAACAATTCAAAGACTCCCGTCTTACTTGGCATCTTGGTTTTAGAAGTAATGATTCTAGTCTTTTGACGCACTAGAATATTTCTAATTTGAGTACATGGACTGTGTTGTACGTTGAAGAGGCTCTGAACTCAGAGCCAGAAGTTGGCTCCCTCATCAGCACCACTAAACTTGGTATTTATTTGATTCTGGTCAAAACACTTTGCATTTAAACCTTGGATTAAACAGACTAAAAACAACAACAACTTTTCCTTGTATTATTTAAACTGTAAGCACCTTATAAATATTACTTATGCTGCTGCTCAAATTCACCAACAGCCTAACATCAAATAGAATGGCATTTTTTTTAGGGTTCATTTTCTACTACCTCTGGGACATCTGACACTTGATTTTCTTGCATTTTTTTTCTCTTGGTTTCTTGGACTTTACACCTTCCCCTCTTTCCCTAACTACTGTGTTTTCAGCTCTTCACCTAAATGTAGGCATTTCTGAAGGTTCTATTCTCAGACCAATTCGTTTCTCACTTTGCGGTCTTATTTACTCCAAAAGTTTCCATCTATAATATACATATTCTGTACTTTTCCAATTTGTGGCCAGACATGTCTACCCAGATTTCCCAGTCACTGGCTAAGAAATTCCAAGGTTAAAACACACCTTTCCAGCCCCAACCAGTGCAGCTCTTCCTCTTTGCTTTGCTGCGGCTGCCCTAGTGTTTATTGCCTACACTGCGTGTGACTCCTTCCTGCCGCCTCTTCTTTTCTCCTAAATAAACCAGGTTTCAGATAGGAGAGGGATGAGCTCTATCTTTGCTTTGTAGCATCTCATTGTGAGTTCAAAACCCTACTGGGAGTATTATCATATGTTTGATATATATGCTTATTGCCGACACTCAAGGGAACTCCATTATAGCTTTGGGGAATTTACAAATTCATATTCTTTCCAAACAGGTAAACACCTTGCGAGTCTCAACAGATGATCTGACTTTTTCCCTGAAGAGTTTAGTAGCCTAGCCTAAGGATGGAATACTTTCCCCTACCCTACCCTCAGAAACATGAAGGCCTGCTGCTCTTGTGTTTAGATAAAAGTAGCAGGCACCCAACGCAACTTTTAATTATCAGTATATGCTCTACACATATTACCACTACTCAAAACACTGGCATTTTAAAAAGAGTAAGTCTAAATGCACTTAGAAATGAGATTTTCCAATATTCTTCCTTATTGAGAGTCTGAACAATGAATGTAACAATTCTATAACGGCTAACAAATGGTATCTGTTGATGTTTTTCTAAATTTTGAGTTGCTATTTCAGATGATGAAATAAGTCACTTACACTTACCTGATTGTAATCATTTTTCTTTCTTTATCAGGTAAGTAGCATTTTTTCATTTTTATGATATTAGCAGGATATTGAAACCGTTCTGAGTTGATGAAAAAGAGGGGCTGAGGAATTCTCGAATATACTTCATCACCCACTGGAAGCATCCATGCATCCAGGGCAATACCACACCTGCAGATGTGTGTTGACAAGGATAAAAGAGGTCGGGTTACATACTGGCCGACACAGGAATTTCTAATAATGCTAGTATTAATGACACACATCATACCAGTTTATTGTGGGTTATCTCACTGGGCTTAAGAGGTATTATACTTCAATGTGGGAAGAGGATAGATATGATTAGCTTTATAAGTAGCAGACTTGGAATTATAATCATTTTCTTTAGGAGGCATTTAGAAATATATGACCTGTAAACAATTTTATTATTCATTTTTCATTAGACTGTTTTCAAAATAAATTAAAATATGTAATGATTTCTTCAAAATCGTGGGGTATCTAAAAAAGAATAATAAACGCACTATTTTTCCCGGTTTCAGACCTTCAGGACACTGTAGTGTATTTATTAAACCTTTTTCAGAGTAACCATTGGACCCATTGCTTTGTATTTAGAGGTGTCTGGGAGTTGAAGAAAAACCTATGGAGCATATCATTTGACAATGTAATGAATTTTCTTTTTTAAAGTAAGTTTATGCCACATTTCTTGACCTTTTGGGCACTCTGTTTTATGTGCTAAATGGATGAAAGAAGAGAATTCCCTTATACTGAAACATATTTTAAGAAGCATGAGGAGAAATTTCACAAATGACCCTGCCCACTTTCTGTACAGTTGGCCCTACATGATTTCATCCATCTCAGATGAAGTGATTTGAAACAAAATATTTCTGCAAGTCAGAAGACTGAGGTCTGGTCTGACTCCCACCCAAACAGCCGTGCAATTTTAGACCTCACTCCATCTTAAAGATGGAAAAAAATTCATTAAAAATGTCCTCCCTACTGGGCAAGTCTAGCAATACTGTAAGACGGCAATATTATTATCATAATCATGATGCCACAGATAAAATGTATATATAAAGATAAATTTTCAAGTGAAAATGTTAAGCCCTTGAGCAGATAAATAGGAATGGAAAATAGAGGGGGACGGGGAGAGTTTTTCACAGCAGGAGAAGTAGACGGATGGCTTCTGCCTAGGGAAATTTGTATAGAGTACTTTGCGGAGGCCAAAGGACAGACCTGTAAGCCCCAAAGGATCCCTTCCTCACTAAGAATTTGATGAAAAAAATTCTGTCTCACAAGGGTTATCGCTACCTTATTCTCTTACCTGAATCTCTGGTCTTCACTAAGAGCCTGAAGAACCGTCGCTCCGCCAAAAGAATGTCCGATTACTGCTATTTTATTCCTATCGATAGAGTCCTACGTGAAAAAGCATGAGATAATTCATAACTATCTCACAGGTTGTTACAAGAATAGACTAAATGATTTCGTGAATCATACAATTATTATTCATTTCATGGGCATGGTTAAGTACCTTAATTTCTTATAAAAGAAATATGTACACATACATATATACACGTATACACATACATATTTACACACACATACACATACACACATACATATATATACAAATACACACGCACATGTATGTTGAGCATTTGCAAAAGTTCAGAAGTGAACTTAACGGTCTTCCTAGTCACCCACACTTGAAACATCATCATTGCTGACTTCCCCTATCCCCACTCCATGATGTTTACTAGTGTGTTCATTCTGTGAGTGTTGATTGAGCACGTGCTCTGTGCCAGGCATTGTAGTTCATTTTGAATGAGCTCACAGTCTGTTAGGGAAGGAAGAGAGACACATACATGATGCAAATGCAATCGAGTGGCGGCAAGGAGCACATAGGATAGATAGCTAACTCGGTCCACGGGTGGGCACTGGGGTCCAAGAAAGCTCCTTGGAGAAGGTGATGCCTGACTTGAGTTGAAGATTCAGCAGGACTTATCAGGGGGAAGCGTGTGTCAGGCCAAGGGGACATATATGTACAAAGGCACGGAGACAGCAGAGAGAGTGGCGGGTTGAGGGACAACAAACACTCCAGTGCATCTAGAGAATGGACCATCATCTTATGCTCAAACCGAACACTTCTAGTTTCCTCTATCCCCCGGACTCCTCCCTACACACACTTTTGAGTCTCTGTTCAGGCCGTCTACTCGGTCTGTTCTTCCAACCCTCCCAACATTTTCTCCAACACTTTGGCCCAACTTTTCAGGATCAAGCTCAGAAAAATGCAGGAGCCATCCAAGAAATCACGACACTTGACTGGAGGTCTTAAGTTGAACCATGTGAAACTGCCATATTTGTAGATCAAAACTGACTGTTGGCAATTTCATATATAGTTCCACCTAATGTGTTCCTCATGGCTGTAATACTTTACCTGCACTGTTTTTTGCAGCCCTTTATCATCTGGTACCTTGTATCACAGCAGTAAAGCAGACAACAAAGAACAGTAAAGAACCGCAAGATGAGGGAAATGGCCTTCTTAGCTCACCTTCAGTTGTTCCACGCCAAACTCTGAATCTAATACATTCTTCACTGGCCTTCCATGATCAATGTCAAGAATCAAATCGAGAGCTTGAGAACACTCTTTTGCTCTTTGCTGTACCTAATATGATTATTGGAAGAAGGAAATGACACAGTAAACGTTGTAACGCCTATTTTAAAGTTTGTATAGAGGAAGATGTGGGGAAAATGGTTGGTCGCTTATAAATTGGAAATGTCTGCTGAGCGATTAGTGATTAGAAAACACCTAGCATAATGACACAGGAACCAGCTTTGCACGTAGTTATAGCTTAGTCCAAATCTTGTCTCTGTTGCATATCCACTGTGTGACCTCAGAGGATCTACTTAACCTCTCCGAGCTTCCATTTATTGTATGATAATGCCTACCTCAGTGAAATGTGGGTGGGATTAAAATAAAAAATTAAAATAGAAAATATATCTACATAAGAATATTTATATAAAAATAAAGTACCCACTATAAAGCTTGGCACAAAGGCGGAAGCCAGAATGCTTTATTCCATCTAATCTTCCCAACAGCCCTGTGAGAAAAATACTGTTGCTGTTCATTATTTTGTAACAAATAAAACATGGGAGCAAAATAAAGAGAGTAAGTAACTCGTCCAAGATCACCCCAGTGCAAAGTGATGGCCAGGATCAGGCACAGAAAGTTGGATTCTAAGGCCTACATCCTTAATACTATTCTATACTACCTCTCTGAAAAGTAGTCTTATTTATTTTATTTTTGTGTGTGAGGAAGATTGGCTAACATGAGCTAACATCTGTGCCCATCTTCCTCTACTTTATATGTGGGACGGCTTGATGAATGGTGTGCAGGTCGGCACCCAGGATCTGAACCTGCGAACCCCAGATCACCGAAGCGGAGCATGGGAACCTAACCACTCCACCACTGGGTTGGCCCCAAGTAGCCTTCTTTATACTCCCTGGTGTGTGTGTGTGGGGGGGGGGGGATGTCTATGAATTTATTCTGAAATTCTAAAATTAGAAGTTCTAATGCAAAAATATTCTGTATATTCGCTGTCATCTCCCAGAATTTTTGTCTACGTTTTGACTATGACCTAGACATTTCATTAAGAGAATTTTATTACTCGGAGAATCTTCGCTGCAGCTCTTTTGGGAACGGCAAGTAAGAGAGCTAGGAGCACCGTGTGCCGTATGTAAACGTCAATCAGCAATGTCATCAGGCTGCAGATGCTTTCCAGTCCCCATGCCACCTCTCCCCTTACTGCCATGTACCTGCTCATTTCGTACAAGCACCTCCTCCTCCTCTCGTTTTAGGCTTCTGAAATAGAGCCAAGACTTGTTCCCTATTTCTGCAGCAGACTGGTCCTGGAAATAGTAAGTCGCGGATGCGGACCCATCTCTACAAAACAAACAGAATCACCTACTTCGACTTGCTCTTTCCCTTCCCCATCTCACCCACATTCCTCTATCCATCCTTGACTCAACTTCACTCTTCTCCTTCTGACTTCCCTTTCTTCTTCCACTCTGCATTTTTCTTTAAAATCAAAGGGGCCCCCAAGGGAGTTCTAAGGAAAAGACATTGTCATGGGTAAACTCAACGCATTCTGTCTTCACAGTTCTGGGAGGATGTGTTGAAAACTCACGCCTGGAATCAAATCCCAGCACTGCCACTTACTAGCTGTGTGCTTTTGGGCAAAGGACTCACCCTTTCTCAGCTTCATTTCCTCCTCCTTAAAACAGTGCTAATAGTAACCATCTCGTAGGCTTGCCAAGAAGATTATAGGAGGTGCGATATGGACACGGCACACAATAAACACTGTAGAAATGTTAGCTGTTTTTTAAGTCTTGAGAATCTAACTCAGTCTCCATTTTTTCTCATCATGTAATCACAGTTGACAATTGCATCAACGTTTTTTTATAAACCTTTATGAAAGTTAGAGCCCAGCTACATACCAGATGACGTACCTGTGTTCCACAGCAGCAACTATAAACCCGTGAGATGCCAGGTCAATGCCGATAGCAGAATAAATTGTCCTTCAAAACAAAAGGAGGGAAGCATTGAACTACAAGTCACGCTTACAAGGCGGGGGTCCACTAATAAACTCCGGAACACGGAGGCCATTACTTTCCTATAGTAGTGCCCCGGGGTAAACCAGAGAGCTGTGTTCTCAAATGGGGCCATTTTGCCCTCAGGGGATATTTGACAAGGGAGGTATTTTCATTATCATGACTACTGAGGGAGGGTGTTACTGGCATCTAGGGGATAGAGGGAAGATGCTAAACATCCTACAATGCACAGGATGACCCTCCACAACAAGAAATCATCTGGTCCAATTACCTGGGTTGAACCCTGGTTCTACCACTTATTAGCTGTCTACCTTGGATAAACCACTTACGTGTTCTCTGCCTTGATTCTTTATCTGTAGAAGGGTGATGTGATAACAGGATGGTACTTAATAGGATTGTTGTAAGGATTAAGTAAATTAATACATTTTCATTGCTTATCGCTGTGTCTAAAACAGGGGAAATACATGTTAACTGTTGTCTAAAAGATTGGACAGAGTGAGGTAGTTAAAGAATCATGTGCTAAGCAACTACATTTACACCTCTCTTCCATGTATTCACCACACAATCTTCTTCTCATATCATGCGTTCAATAGGAAACGTGCATAGAATATACAAAGGAGGTCGGTGGGAACTGTGTCTTCTACTGCTGAAGACACAAGACCTACTCAGGAGGGAGAGATAGTCTAGTACAGGATCAGCAAACCTTCCCTGCAAAAGGCCAGAGGGTATACATTCCCAGCTTTGTGGGCCGTACAGTATTTGTCACAACTACTCAACTCTGCTGCGCTGGCACAAAAGTAGCCATAGACAATGTGAAAAATGGGGTGTGGCTGTGTCCCAATAAAACTTTCTTTAGAAAAATAGGCAGCAGGTGGGATTTGGTCCTTGGATTCTAATTTGCCAACCACTGGTCTAGTAGAAATCAAATAACTAGCTAGACTACAGTTAAAGTATTGAAGATAAGTTCTTATTGCAGATGCTACCCAACTTCCTGCCAGCGAAAAGCCACCTCTTATTTTCTGAAAGTCTTACAATTGCCTGAGATAAAAGAAGGGGAGGCAGTCGAGAAGATGGAAGAAGGTAGTGGAGAAGGTGTGGTGGTCATGAAAATGTATCACTCAGGTATCAGGCCACAGAGAGCACAGATGACTAAAGACCCACCCAGCTCCTGCCCCGCTGGATCCGCCACCACCAGCTAAGCTTCCTGTGGGCTGCTCCCAGTGACTGGGCACAGCGTGCGTACTAACCTAGGCCCATTCCAGTGAGATGCAGGACTCCTCTGATGAGCAACGGTGGGTCGAGCACTCCCTCAGTTGGCCTGGCCCAGTCTTTCTTAGAACTGTGCTGTAGTCTGAGACTCTTCTCACCCAATCCTTCTCCATTTCCCATCTCCCTCCTGAGTGTCCAACCTGCATCATGGGGTGAATGCTCTCCCTATCTTTTCCTGCTCCTTCCCCTCTATCCGTCACCGGCACTTCTTTCAATAAATGTCTTTCACAGCTAATCCAATCTTGGTGTCTATTTCTCAGAGGACCTGAACTAACACAGAAGATCATTTTGAGAGTGTGTTATATATAGAAGGATAACAACCCAAAATGCAACACCTTCTCTTTCCTGTTGTGAGGCCAGTCCCCATGAGCTAGAAGGAGGGAACAAACTACTTGACGAGACAGGGCTAGGACCGATCGACAGACCATAGTCAACTCCTAAGGAATCCCAATTCCTTCAGGACAGGGGCCAGCATGATACTCCAAAATCAGCTATTCCTTTTTTTGGAAAACAATGCATTGAGTCATTGATCCCTAGGGGTTAAAATTGTTCAACCTCTCAAACATTACCTGAATGCTCCAAGACCATGAGAAAAAATGATTAGTGGGTATTTTTCACCCGTCCTCAGAGGGGAATTCCAGCTTGCAGGAATTGTCAGTGAACCTAGACAACAATGGAGGATGATGATTAGTGTTTTGTCTCTGACTTGAATGTTGCTGGTTAATTTAACTTATATCTCCTTAGTATAAAGTCCTGACCCATGGAATTTATTTTTATGTTTTTGTGTATTAATGGCAAATTCATTAAAAAGTCTGCTACTAGATACCCACCAACCAAAGACCCGAACCATGTGTTTTTCTTACGACCACAGGGTCATTAATTCTCAGTCCTCACTGTCAGCCCTGAACTTAAGGTGAGACAGTTTCCCACTTACAGGTGTATTGGGGAAGGCTGCTCTCTTTCACCAACCCCAGCCTTTGGCAACACTTCAAAGGGAATGTTCTGAAACCAAACTACCCAGTAAACCTCAGGAACGTTACACTGAGAGCCAGGATCTTTGAGTTGGAGACTCTAATATGGTAGTGATCAAAAGAAAGCTGGAGAGATCATGGACTTCATACCTAGATGTGGCTGCAGATGCAGCTCCGTCACTTACTAGCTATTAATCCTGGGTAAGTTAAAAGAACTGTCTGATTTTCAGATTCCTCTTCTGTAAAAAGGAGAAAATTATATCTCCCTCATATGGTTTTTGTGAGAATTATATTCATGTGGATAATATACCTAAAGCACTTATCTAGTCACATAGTAAGGGGCTCAAAAAATGGAAGATATCATCTTCTCTTCCTTCACTTCTCAATTTTTATTGTCATCATCCTCATCAATTTGTGTTTCATTTTCTCACTTATAAAATGGAGATGTGGTCATGAACATTGAATGCGATGATTGCTGTAGAAGTGACTTATAAGTTATTCAGCACCATAAAGATGCGTAGTTTTAGTATTTTTATCACTTCTGTTATAAAGTGGTTTTTAAGAAAACTCCAAGGAGATGTTTAAAATGAATGCCAAAAGTTGTAGGTAGTTTTGAAGGGGAAATTTGAAGGCCTAGTTAACACCAGCCCAAGAGTACTATCTGGTCAAACAGATAAGGAAGGAAAAGTCTGTATTAGCGAAATGTAGACAATTAAGTGACGAAGGCACATAAGATTGTCTTAGTGAGAGAGGGTGGTCCCTTGGGGGTGGGTGATGGGAATGAGAGTAGAGTCTCCTTGTTTATGATAAGAAATTACCTTTCACTCCTTTGTTTTGGATCTAGAGAGTTATGGTGGCTTCTACTTCTTTCTACTTTTGCCCAAGTTTAAAAAGCACTTTAGCACAGAGCATATGGGGCAGTGATTACATTAGCTAACCTGCTACTCTCACCACATTATTGCTCCCCCACAGTACGTAAGAAGGAAAACTAGAGACCAGCCATGGAGAGCAGCTAGCGCCAGGCTGAAAGTCTGACACTTTCACTCCCTCCATCTCCAGCTCCACACCATCATACTCTCCATCATACACAGAATGGACAAAATGAGAACTCTGGATTCTGTGAAAGTTACCTGGGCTTTTAAGAAATACTTTTTTTGTTATCTTAGGAGAACTTTAGACTGGAGAAAATCTACTTTGGTCTTTAACTGCCCGAAACTCTTGCTGTTTTCAAGATTTTCTTACATTCTAGAGCCTACAAAGCAGGATCAATAGAAATCTTACCGTATAATAAGCTCAAAACTTTGCCCATAAGCCAGTGTCTTCCAAGAAATTTACTAAGACCCCAAAAATATTCTTTGTTTGGGATCCAAAGGGTGTCAGAGCGATCACCATCTTGGGATGGATAATATAAACGCAAGAAGGTGCCCTATGGAGGAAAGAAATTCATGTAATTTTAATCACGCTGCTTCTCAAATATATTCCAATAATTATTTTGCTTTTTCCTTTTTTTTCTGTGAGGAACATTGGCCCTGAGCTAACATCTGTTGTCAATCTTTCTCTTTTTGTTTGAGGAAGATTGTTTCTGAGCTAACGTCTGTGCCAATCTTCTATTTTACGTGGGATGCTGCCACAGCATGGTTGACGAGCGGTGTTAGGTCCGCACCTGGGACCCAAACCAGCAAACCCCGGGCCACCAAAGCACAGCATGCGAACTTAACCACTACACCACCGGGCCAGCCCCGATCTTGCATATTTAATTAGTGGGGACCAAAATACCTCTGCTGTTCATGAAGAGACCCAGAGAATGTTTTAAGCTGCTGTGGTGACTGAATACAGTCAAAAGAGATGCAAAATAGAACAGTATGCTTTCTGAGTGAAGAGAGGATGAGCAGTCTGCTTTCAACCATTAAGGAAGGAGAAAAAGAAGAGAGCTTATAGAAAAATTAATCAGATGACAGCAACGAATGGAGGAATGACTGAACTAGCAAAAGGCTTCCTGTGAAACGATGCAAACGGCACAATGAGTTGGTCTCAGGTGAGGGCAAGGTCAAGTTTCAGAACCTGATAGTGGGTCATGGCAACAGTCGATATTAGAATATAAAGACAAGTGGTATTAATCAAAGCCTTACCTTATCAGTATAATCAAACATCAAGTCTGTACAACCAACGGGATAAGATCCATTTCCTCTGGGGATTTTAGTTTGGCCAAGGCTTGCAGCAGCCATCAAAGCTTGGATTTTATTGACCCATGCTGAAAAACAGGTAAATATGATCTCATTTGTCATCCATTGCACCCCCGACTTTATTATGCAAAGGAATTCCAAGGGAATCGAGTTACTGCCCGTAGTTTCTGGCCTCCTCTATTTCTTTGCTAACTAGTGAAATAAACAAATAATTATTGAGGGCCTGCTGTATGCAAAGTACTGTGTGAGGGAAAAAGATGAAGGGAGACATAGCCCTTCTCCCAAGATGCTTAGGACCATCACCTCCTAATACTTACAGCCCTGTCCTTACCTCCTACTCTTATCCAGAGCACACTAAAGATCACTTCCCAAATCTGGTTTTCCTGAACATGAACTTTATCTCACATTTCCAACTTGTGCTTACAACTTCCGAGGTTGGGGATCTCCACCTCATGTTCTTCCCATAGGAACATCAAACCAATGGTCCAAAATCAAACTAAATGACCAGCTCCCATCTCCCCCTCCTTATCCTCCAATCACACAGCCTGCAACTCCAGAATTCCCTATTTTGGGTATCCCAAGCCAGAAACCTGGGAATTATCCCTCTCTCCTACCTCTTTCTTACCAACCCCTACATCCAATCAATCTCAACAACTAACATTTGTTTTTAGCTTAGAATTATCTCTCCAACATATCCCTGGCCCTCTAGCTCAACTGTCTCACTGAAATCTTCACTGTCTCTTGACCAGGCAATTGTCACCTCTCTTAATTGTCCTATCCACCTTGGATCTTGGCCTCTTCAAATGTATCCTTCACACAGTTTCTGGAATGATTTAAGGCACAAATCTCACCAGGCAATTCTTCTTAAAACCCTTTGATGGCTTCTTATTGGTCTCCAGGTGGTTTTCTTGAAAGAGAAATGTATTGGAATCTTTTTGGACGGCAGTTTGTAGGTGGTCTTTATATCTACAGGTGTCTTCCTGAGCTACTTCCACTGCTACTTGAGGCACCAGTGGGGCCTAGCCTTCCCTCGTTCTGGGCTTGAAATGCGTCAAGGTTCACAGGTGCACAAGTTAAATCCCAAGGTTCTGGGCGCTGCAAGAAAGACCCTCCATGATCGGGAGGTCTGCTGCCTCCTACTCTTCTCTTGACTTTTCCCTTTAGGTTACCTCCCTTCCATGTGTTCCAGCACTCCTGAGCTACACACTGGGCTATTCGATGCCTCTCCACCTTTGTGAATGCTATGCCCTGTGCTTGAAACTCCTATTCAACCTTTAACACCTTATCAGGTGTCAGGTCTTCTCTGACGCCTTGCTTGATCTCCCAGACTTCATCATTTCATTCTCAGTATTAAATCAATTCCCTGTATATATTTTTATCATCCTTCCTATCATATGATACTGAAATTATGTGTTTGCACACTCTGTCTCCCACCCTAGGCTATTTCTCAAGAGCTGTATCCATGTCTTTGTATTCTCAGATCTTAATACAACGTCTGGCACATGGTCAGTGCTCAATAAATATTTGTGAAAATGATCTGAACTAAGCTTTTCATTGCCACTGGTCTCTCTTATTCCCATCAAACATTTTATGGTATACATTCTTTTACCCACTCTTGAACCTTTCCTCTCTCTAGTACCAAAACCCTTCAACACACCTGCAGGTTCACCTGTTCTCCTCCTTTCTAAACCCCAATCAAGTCCATATTTAATTTCAAGATGGTGAGTCCAAATATCAGTATATCCAGACCTTCACTTTTCCAGATTCAGTTTGCCCACTCCTACCCTTCTACTGCAGTTGATCACTCTGCTAGACAGACTCTTTCCTGCTTTCCATCACATCCTTTCTCTGGCACTAAGACACCTAGAACTATGTTAAGTACGGCACCCGCATTGATATCATAGGGCGTCATCCAGAAAGGTTTTGAGTCATGAGAAGAAGCCCATTTACACCCTCCACATTGATGACTAATGTGTGAAACGCCTGCCAGCGATGAGCCCTTCCATACATAATGCCTTGCTACTCAAAGTTGGTCCATGGCTCAGCATCACTGGCATCACCTAGGAGCTTGGTAATGCAGATAATCGAATTCTACCGAATCTGAAAAAGTGCGCCTATTAAAGTTTAGCAGCACTGGACTAGGGTACCAGACCACCTGGCCTGACACAAGCGTCAGCAATTCATGGTCAAACGTTAGAAGGTAGTTCTGAGGAAGGGAAGGGGTAAGATGAATGGACCCTGGGTAATGGAGTCAGATGAGCCTATTTTGGATTCCAGTTGTACCTTTCACAAGCTATGATGCTCTGGCCTAAGCAATTTACTCCTGTCTCTTATCCTCATTTGTGAAGTGGGAATAAAAACACTTGACTAGCCTGCAGGACAGTCGTAAGGATGAAGTGATAATGTAAGTCAAGTACTTAGCACAGAATGCAAGACGACATAATGGGGGACAACTGATATTATTTGTCCCTTACCTAGAGTTAGTTAAACTCTCTGGCTACCTAAATTCAAGCCTTTAGAGGAGTTTTAGCTGATCTAAAACTAGACCATACCATTTTCCTTTAGGGCAGATCCAAAATCCGAGGTATTTCCTCAGATTTTTTTAAAACCTTTACCTGTAAGGCTAACGCTTTAGGGTCTATTTTGAATTACAAAGGCTCTTCCTCTCCCATTTAAGACTAAGCCACACTTCGAGCTGTGATAGGGAAGGTCAGCTAGGGTAAGCTACACCTGCCTTTTCTTCCAGGACAAGCTGCCTGTGTTCTGCTGTGCCCAGCCCACAGGCGGCCATGGTGTGGCTATACAAGGGGGCTGGGAGAGGACTCGGGCTCCCAGTTTGGTGAGGAGCCCCAGAGAACCCACAGCTGCCTTGGAGGCACTGCCTCTGGAATTGGGAGTTCCGTTCTAGAGCCAGGGCAGGGTTCCAAGTCACACAGGGTTCCCCTTGTGAGATCTCAATTCCACCAAGGCTCTGGGAACCTTTTCCAATAACCTAGAAGTGCCCTGGTTCTCTAAAACCTGCTCTACCCAAAAGCTTCCCCACTCAGCCTTCAGGAGCCACAGGTCAAGGTGAGACTGTGGGTCTGCCTATGCCAGGACATGTGACCCCCGAGGTCCCAGGAAGCTTTGAGCTGACCCAGGTTTGGGTATAGGTCTACAGGGCCCCGTTGCTGGCCAGTGCCAGGATGGCTGCAGAGAAGGCTCCCTGGCTTACATCTGATCTGGTCGTGGTCCCGGATTTCCCATTCTCTAACCGTCTATCAGGACTCATCATGAAGGAAGAGGCAGGGAGAGACTTGTCAGGTTGAATGCCACCCTTGCGATGATACAGTTTTGTGGGTCAGAACTTAGAAATGTCACTTCCTATTTTTCTTCAACTTTAATAGGAGCATTGCAACCTGTGAGTATGCTATTCATCTTATTATACATTCTTGGTGGCATTTATTTGTCAAGTATTCCTGATACTCATTCCCGGGTTTGAATAGGGTTTGTAGACATGCTAGGAACATTATATTCTCTTATATGGCTTTCTCTCTTCCACTAGCAAATAGGACATCTCCAGCCCATACTTATCCTTTACCCGCATAACCACATTTTCTATGTATTCATTTAGTAAGACTATAAAGAATCATCTACTATTTTAATCTTTTATTTAATAAACTATTTCTAATAATTTTAAAAATATTTATGCATTCATTTTTGAGCATTTAGAACAAGTGGGACATTGGGCTCAACGCTGGGACTACAGAGATAAATAAAACAGTGTCCCTGTCCTCAAGTTTCTGCCAGTCCAATGACAGCTTTCCAATGATTGTCAAACATTAGGCGATATAAAACATGTTCTCAAATTCTCACCCTGGCCCAATAAAAAGTGCACGATATAAATGTCTCTTGGGTGATCATTTGCTCCTCGTGTAAGATGTCACTTGTTTTCAATCTATGGAAAAAGCAATGGGAAAAATAAACAATTTTAACTAGGTCCCAAGCTCCTTGAACTTGCCTCCAAGCTCTTTGTTTTTAGTCACCAGTGTATCACCGATGCCTCTGCTTCCTGCCAAGTGTTGTAGAATGAAGGCCCCTGTGAGATATCACTCCATTTCCTATGCAAATGCAGGAAGATGATACAGTTCCTCTCCTACTGATGCATTTGTTTCCCCAACTACAAAGTAGGGTGAGATTTATCTCTAAGGTGATCGATTGTGAAAAGTCTTTCGTAAATGCTATAGTAAGAAGGCACCCATCAAGCCTGAACAACTAGATCCAGTGTGACCACATTATCCAGGTGCACAGGTCTGCGGGGACAGACGGTATGACACCATGCAGAAGCCACCTACACTGCTCACCTGAGGAGACCGGATAGAGAAGTTCACGCATCACAACTCTCAGGCATTGGCAGGAATTCACAAAGCTCCAGAAGCAATCTCTCCACAGAAAAGGTCCTAGAGATGGCTGTCCCACTCTGGCCACCCCTCGTGGACGTGTCTGAGCTGTCCTCTCCTCTCCTTCCCTCCCTCCACAAGGTAAGAAAGAGCATGTAATGCACCTCCATTCTCATCTGGAGATCCTTAGTGCCTTCTTGTCCCTACTTCTCCCTGTCGTTAGGAAGAAAAGATTGTTTCCCTCTGAATCCCAAGATCCTAAATTGCCATCTTCTCACCCCACTACTAACCAGGACTATATCTGTTGATCATGACACCTGCCTCTTCTTCACTTTCGCGGACTCGGGTTTTGAGGTTGCCTCTGGGGAAACTCCAGGGGAGTTGTGTTACTGCGCTCAAGCAGGAGTAGGTTAGGGCAGAGAGGGAGAGAAGGGACGGCGTCGAGGAAGTTCTCCACAGCGATTGCAAGCTGAGCTTCCAGTTTGTCTGAAAACACCTCATCCTGGTTCTGTCCTGCAGTCACGATATTGAAGAAGACAGGTGCTTCTTCAGTTTCAGTGGGATGAGGAGAAAGTGAGGCCCTCCCCCATTCTCTAGGAGGACAGAGGGTCTCCATGAGCATCTTCTTGATAGAATCTGCTTAGAAATTCATTCACGCAACTTCTCTGGGGCCACTTTGACTCTGGCAACAGGTGAGTCACTCAAACCCCTGAACAAATATACCTCTTACCTGATGATTTAATATGGGCAACAGGATTTGGGTCTTGCCAGTCAAAAGGATGAACCAGCACAAGGCAGCTGCAGAGGCAGAAAAGCACATGCAATTTGGGTGGCAACATCTTGGAAGCTGAGCAGCGGTTTCAGCTTAACTTTCTTCAAGGCAGGTTATTAAAAGAAAAAAAAACATGCAATAAAGAGGACTTAGGCTGACAAATCAATGAGACTAAGGTACTAGTAACATGATTTTATATATGGTAAGGAAAGAAGACATTTGGAAAAAATACAACATGCATTTTCTGGGCTGGGTTTTTGATAGGCACTAGGGTGGCAAAATCCTGGGTAATCTGGATTGTAGAGCACAGAAATAATACTGCTGGCTGTTATATTAGGTTTGGGGTCACTAGTTCTTTAACTCTGTAGCTGTCTAGTTTGGTTACAAAGAATAGTATCAAAATATAACAACCATATATCATAATCATAATAACGTTCCCCCGGCTTGTCTGGCACATAGTACACACTCGCTAAGTGTTGGCTAATGTTTCCATCATAATTATAAAATGATCATTTTGCTGCAGCTGTGGTTCTTTTGGTGTTGTGCATGTCCTAGCTTTGGTGATCTCTCTGATCCTCCTACGCTGAAAGCTTCCCAAAGGCAGAGCCAATGCCTATCAGAGGGCCTGGCCTGCAGTTGGTGTTGAACATGTTTGTAGAATTGACGGATGAAATCGAACTCGTGGTAATAATAAATTATATTACAATGAGGCTCTATGCTAACATCTCCTTTGCAAAAACTATCTTGTATCTGTGCATCACTTATTCCCTTTAAAATTTCTCCCCTCAACTTTTTGGGGTGATGGGAATGGCCTGAGGCATCACCATCTCTGACTTGAATTTTGGCAATAACTTCCAACTGGTCTCCCTAGCTTCACCTTTGCCCCTGTAGGCTATTCCCAACGCAGCAGCCAGAGTGATCAGGTCACTCCTCTGCTCCCAGATGGCATCATATCTCACAGAGCAAAAGCCACGGACCTTAAAGCAACCTACAAGGCTCTACATCGTCCGTACTCAACAGACGCCGATCCTAGCCCATCCTTTCTCACACACTCACTGCAACCACACTCGCTTCCTTGCCATTCACCAAACATCCAGGCACTCCCTGCCCTGCCTGGGAACTTCACATGGACCCCTTCTTCCAGAAAGCCTCTTGGTCCTGAGACCCCAGTGACCGGCTCCCTCATCTCTAGGTTTTTGCTTCCTTTCTACCATCTCAGTGAGCCTTTCCGTAATCAATTTAAAATTACAACCCAACCCCGCTCTCCACAGCAATACACGCCCTATTTCCCCCACCTAATTTTTCTCCATGATACTTGTCACCAACTAACATGCTCTGGACATTATTTGTCAATTGTTTATCTTCCTCCACTAGGAAGTCAGTTCTTGAGTAGGGAATTTTACCTGTTTTTTCCCCTGCTGTATTCCCAGGACCTAGAATAGTGCTTAGTACACAAGAGACACTCAATAAGCCCCTGTTGAGTGAATAAATTCTGAATCCTAGTAGTTTCTAACACACATGGTTACTAACACAAACTGAGCCAAGGTTAATGATCCATGTGGGTATTGGTCCCACTGATACTAATGGGGTATTAACAAGTTGGCATAGTTATTCAGCAGGCAGATATAAACACAGACCTGTGGCACAGAGAGTTAGTGTTTCTAAATCTCTGTGTGCTCCCCTACATTCCTGACCTCCCTTGTGGCTGGACTGGGGCCATGGACTGATTTCTGATAAATGGGAATTTGAATGGAGTGGTCTAGGACTCTTAGGAGTGGGTATGTCCTCCCCATCGCTTCCTTTCCCTCACACAGCAAACTCAGAAGCCACATGTGGTGTCTAAAGACAGAGGAATCCTGGATCACTTGTCACCAATAGAGAAGTGCCCAGCCAATTCATATGGCTGTCCATGAGCTGGAAATAAACCTTTGTTGGGTCAAGCCACTGAAATTTCCAGGTGAAGTTGTTTCTGCCTTACTGCAGCACAGCACGGCCTGTCCTGACTAATGTCAGATCTGCAGGCACTCAGTCAATGGGTATTTATTGAGCAAATACTACATACCCTCTGATATCAACAATTGCGGTAAATACTGGAGAATTTGACACAACCCCTGCTTTAAAAGAGCTTACAATTGGGATTCAGGGTCAAGACCAGCATATATAATACAGGAAGAGAACAAATTACAGGGACATTTAAAATTCTAAAATGATATGGTATAAATTCTCAGGGCAACAGGAATTCAGAGAGAAAGATTTCAGAGGAGACAGACTATAGCCAGGTCAGCTCTTATAGCACAGGCTAAAAATCCAGACAGGTAGCTGGGAAAATTGTCCCTGGAGCTCTAAGCTTCTTGGGCTACTTGTAGAGTGGCTGTATTTCCTTATTCTATCTCTTCTTTTTTGGTTAAAAAAGTACGCATAGTGGAATTCTTTAGATTATTTATAATTTTGGTTGATTTTTATCTTATTTAAGTATCATTTTTATTTTTATCACAAAGTTAATATGTGATTTCAAAAATTCAAACAAGATAGAACAAGGTAAATAAAAAACTGAGTTGTCTCTTCACTGATAATCACTTGCTCATAGATTTTTTTCCAGATGTATTTCTATACTTGAATACATACCCACACATATATATAAATAAATATACATACACATATATAAATATAGTTTTAAAATTTGTTCATAAAACCTTATACTATTCATTTATATTTCAACGTACATTTTTAATTTGATAATATGTTGTAGAAATCTTTTCATATGAGCACACAGCACTATAATTTTTCTTTTTCTTTTAAAATGGCACTTAGGAGGTGCTCAAAAAAGTTTGTTCACTAAATGGATAATAATATTGCTAACATTTGAATGCTTATTACACGCCAAGCATTGTGCACAGTTTCTGGCACACGGTATCTTAATCAATTATCATCAGAACAATCTGTGAGGGAAGTTTAATTATCCCCATTCTATTGATGAGGAAATTAAGGAGAGTTCAATGGGCTCGTCCTAACCACACAGCTGGCAAATGCTGGAGGCAGGGCTTAAACCCGGAATATCTGACTCCCTGCTTTCAACCACAACATACCATCCTTGTGAAGCATCAATTTCTATTCACTCTAAAACCAATGTCTTCTAAAGTTAATGAACAGAACAATTATTTCAATGATGCTCAGGTGTTCAGGAGCTGCTTTGTGGATTGAGAAAATGACTTAACAAGGAATTAGAAATTGTTCTTTAATGAAATGAGACTCTGTCTCATTGTTCTTGCCCTAATTTATATTAGGAGCAACATGCTAAGACCCTTGGAAACAGCAGAGTACTGTGTATGAATCCAGAGAAATAGCTCCTGAATTTCCCAGTTAAGCAACAGAAGAAGTTGAGCTGAAGCGAGGCTAGATGCTCCCCAGCTGCCACCACTACCCCACTGTTACGCTGTTACAACTTGGTTTTTCCTCAAATAACATCATGCACAGAAAATATTTACAGAGACACGAGCCGAGGGCTTTAGGAACTTCTACCCCTGGTGCTGACAGCCTGTGATTGAATAAGGGGAGTGTCATTCAGCCACTTGGAAGATCATGGAGGATGAAGAGACGAAAGTGAAACACACAAGCAGATCCACAGCTGAGTTTTAGGAACACTGCACTAACCCAAAGGAGAGCTTGCCCACAGCTCCTTGGTATTCATCACATCTTCGATGTCAATAGCCTCAGGAAGAAGCAGAGATAGCCAATGGCAGGCAGGGCTTCCCCAAGTCCTCCAAGCAGGAGTGGGGTGCTCTGCCCTCCCCGCATTTCCTACCAGACCAGTGCCAGGGCTAACATCTCCGTCCTCATGGCAGAACAAGGCAGAATTAAGGCTGGGTGACATGGCACGCTGGAGTTACCAACCTGACCTTGCACAAGCTACCAACGCTCTGAGGGAACTTTCAAACGTTGCAATTCCTGACCCCCACCCCAGACCTACTGCCTCAGAATCTTCAGATGGCCGACCCAGCCATCTGCATTTTAGCTCCCTAGGGATCTGGATACAGTCAATCCCAGGATTTATACAGTGCTTGGAAACTGCTGCAGTGGAATATATAAGTACTATTTGTGTAGAGTTTTTTCACCACCCTCATTCTCAAAGTAATAATCCTCTAAATAATCTATGATTGGCTAACTCATTCATTCATTCATTTATTCATGTATTTATTTAATGAGTTTTAAGAGTGCCTACATGTCAGTCACTATGTCGAGGATAAAAAGATTTCTCAAGCAGATGTGGTTTTTGTCTTCAAAACCCCCAGCAGGGAGAAAGACTGTCAAATAATCATCACAAATGCTATTGCAGCTTATTTACGAGATGTAGTATGAGAAAATGCCTAGTGGGAATAAAAGAAGAGAAGCAAATTTTAGGACCTCCCTTTTTCATTTTGGGGGATGAAGATCAAACAAAAACAGAAAGGCGATGCCACCTGCCTAAGGTCACACAGTGAGTCTTTGGCATGGGCAGGACCGGATGGAGGGTCTTCCCCCATGTACCCAGTGACAGAATGACCCAAATGGGATGGCTCTCCTCTCTCCACCTTCCCAGTGCCACAAAATGCACTGCCTTTCCCCATTGCCTCTGGCTGGTGTGCTTTGTGGGAGAGAAAGATATGCCAAGGCTGTCCCCAGCTGATAGCAAGACAGCTGTGTCCAAGGCAGGGACAACCATCACCATCACCCAAGTTTTCCCACAGTCAGGAAAGGAGGTCTTCTCTGGGCCTGACTCCATGGGGTACCAGAGGAGAAGGCACTTTCCACCTCAGCAGCAGAGGCTCACGGGTCTGGGTATAGTCAGGCCACGGGGCCATTAGCAGCACGAAGGCAGCCTCCTCTTTCCTCCAGCAGCATCTGTACATGCCTCCATTCGGGCACTTTTCACCCTCCCCTGCAATGCTCTATTCACAACATTGCCTCACCCAGCAGCCTGTTAGCTCCTCCAGGGCAAAGACTGGTCTCATTTGTCTTTTTTTGGAGGGGTGGGGGAAAGATTAGTCCTGAGCTAATATCTGCCGCCAATCCTCCTCTTTTTGCTGAGGAAGACTGGCCCTGAGCTAACATCCATGCCCATCTT